CCTACACAGCGGATAGGGAAGCTGCTGGATTTCTTATTGGTAAGACAGTATCTTGTTAGTTTCAGTAGATCTCCCATATGGCTCCACCTCGAAGCTTGCCTCAGAATATCCCATACGACCTTCAAATTGGCCACATATTTTTGGTCCAAATATTATTTCTCACCAACCTCAAGCTCATCAAAGGGTGTGGCTCTTCCCAGGGCCAATGTCATGGGCCAGATTCAAATTCCGAGAGAGAAACAAGAATTAAACACCTACACTTGAACTGTGCCACCTTTGTTTAAAAGTGGCAACTCTTCTCTCTCCGTGAACAGATGAGTTTCAAAACCGTCTTATAAAAACGGTCTATCAATTACTAGTTGCACACTGTCCACAATGAACTATTAGCAAGTCTGACCCAAAAAAGGACAAGGCACAGAGGCCATATGTAACAGAGATGGGGACCTCTAAAGCCAGGACACTAGGGCCAGTCCATCCCTGGTTCATGTCTGTTTGCATTGATAGAGATATTGCTACAGTGCAGGGCCAAGAACTGTCGAATGAAAGGGCCAAACTGTACAATCCATTGAAAAAAAAAAAAGAAAATTAAGCATATCTGGGAGAGCCGTCCAGAAAGGGAGAGAAGGGAACACAGCATTGGCAGGAACCTCCAATTCCTGACCAAACCCTCTTCCACACAATGGCTCCTGCGAGAAAGGAACCCAGGGCAGGAGCCAGCAGGACGCTGGCGGACAGACCGGCTGGCCTTGCAGGATGTCAGAGCGCCAGGCGGCTGCGAGAGATACAGGGGGTTCACACACTCGCAGGCGGACTGTTTTGCTCTTCAGGTAATTAAACAAGGAAGCAGGGCTGCTGGGTACGAGTCTGACCCCCAAGCTGAGGCTCCACAGTTCTGCATATCAACTTCCGCAAGAACTGCCTGGAGCGTCAACACAACACGCGCCTCCCTCTCTCATTTCCTTCTCCACCTCTTCCTAAAGCTGACCCAGAAACAAACCGACCCTCCCAAAACACCCCGAAGGGAACACCGTCGAAAGGCCTGAACTTTTCTGTAATAAAAATCTCTCTGCTATATCAACCTCCAAATTTCAAATAAAGAAAACCCCAAAATCCTAAGGACAATGACTTCATGAAAATGAATATGGGTCTCTTAAGGTGGATTATTCAAAAAGACTAATATCTATTTTTTGATTCCTTTAGCATTGAATTAAAGAATGAATTATCTACTCTTATGAGGTTCACAACAAAATCACAGATTTTTCAGTCCTGATCACAGATTAAATATTTGTTATGCTGTGTATTCCTATATTGTTACATTTTGGCAGACACTATATAATATAAGCAAAAAACACGTATGGTCTGTCTTATTGTATTCCATCAAAAATGAGTATTTTTTAAAAAGTCCTCTCAAACATTTCTTAGGCACACACACATCCACAAACATACAGCTACCACTAAAGCTCAGGAACAGAAAAGCATTAAAGAGAAGACGGTCTCGTTATACATGCATTCATATTAAGCAATGATTAGAATCATACAAATAATATATTCTTCTTTCATCTCAAAATCCATAGAGTAAAATATTGGCTGAAAGAGACAGAGACCAAAAGAGAGAGGAGTACAAAGGCATGCCTGCTTGTCTGTGTTCAGCACAAAGAACATTAAATGAAAACAACTGGCATGCTGCCAAATTCCTATGGAGGCAAAGAGATTCAAACACATTGATTTCACGCATCACACTGACCTGGGATCAGTGTGCAGTGCTACAATAAGCTCAGAGCTCCATGTGGGGTAAAGCCCATTAATGCTATCAGACCCCTTGAACATGACCAAGTAAAACTAAAATAAACGCAGACTCTCTCTTTTAAAGAAGAAAAAAAAAAAAGAGGCCAAAACAAACAAAGCCAAAACCCCAGCAATTTTGCTTAAGAAAATAACTTTCCCCTTCTCCCTCATAAAGATATCACTATTTCAAGGTACACAGCATCACCTACATAACCATTAAAAATAAACCCTTGCTAACAACACAAATGTGCATTTTCAATCCCATCCAGAATATATAAACTGGTGCCACATAAATAATCTCATCCCATGATATGCTTGAACAGAGACACACACCACGGTGCGCCCGTCACGTTTCCTCTTCTCCTCACATCTTGTAGGCAGCCAGGGTGAAGGGTTGGCTTTGTGACCAATAGGGACCCCTTCTGAGGATGGTTCCAAAAGACCTATTAGACGCAGCCCCTCTCAGCGCCTTTTCTGGCCATTCCAGTCCTCACAAAGGAACACGCCCCACGGAGGACCAGCCCCAAATCGCATTCTGGAGCACCAAGTACTATTTTAGGTTTGCTTTAAACTCGGAGATTAACATTCCAGGATTTTGCCTTTACCAGCTAACACCCAAGCCGGCAACATGCCCCCCGGCATTATTTTCCCTCTGGGCACTGCCCTAACGAGGCAGGCTGCCCTGGTGCCCACCACCTGCTCCAAATCGCACCATGCAGACAGGACCTCGGGTGCCACCTGAGGTCATTCTCACAGCCTCAGCTCTGCAGTGTCATCCAGCTCTTTGCTTTCTCTGCCACCAGGTTCCATATTTCTTTATAGCAATTGTTCAAAATTTCCATATGGTCATTACAAAGAAAGAAAGAAAAGCTAGGAGTAAATGTTTTAATGATCTCGGTTAAAAAAAAAAAGTCAACGGTCATCGAGTTGATTTAGATGCACTGCAGCCTGAGGGACAGGGTGGAACTGCCCCTGTGGGTTTCCCAGACTGTAACGCTTTCTGGGAGTAGAAAGTCCCAGGTTCCTCCCTCACAGCAGCTGGTGGTTTTCAATTGCTTGTAAGAAAACTTATCAAGGGCTTAAACAGAAAGAAAATGTTTAGCAAATTATGATGGCAGCATGTGTACCTCTGTGCTGGATACAACTGATGTATGGATTGGTATAAGAGCTATAAGAGACCCCAATAAAATTATTTTCAAAAGAAGAAAACTCAACAGTTATAAAACAGATAAGCAACAGTATATAAATATAGCTTTATATATATAACTCTATCTCCTATCTTTATATATAATTATGCACACGGCGTTTTTAAAGCATGTACACACACAGGTATAGGACGGGGAAAGAGAAGAAAACACAATGTCTCTGATGTACAATGCTCAGGATTCGGTATTTGCATATTATAACAAATAACATGCACTGAGTTCTTAAGATGTGTATTCTTGTGATGCACTTTAGCTTTCAATCTGGATCTTCCATGTCGCAATGGATTATTTCCAGTAGGTCAGTGATGGATGCCATGTGACTAGGAGAGAATAGGAGGGCAATAGGATGGGAGTGGGTAATGATGATGACTATGTATCTACAATATAAGCTCAAGGCATTTTTTAATCCAATATGCTTTTCAATTCCTAATTGACACCATATTTTAACATATTTGTAAGGACCTCCACTACCGACACACTGTCAGAAAGGATCCAGCATATCCTTCTTTGACTGCAGCGTTTTCTTTGGACAAAAGGCAGTAGAAAACAACATTTTAAAATACTGATGCATATGTTGTTATCATTAATTTGTTTTCTTAAAGGTAAGATACATACACCTTTGTCTATATGGAACTTGAGAAACCTAACCAACTAGTATTTGAGCTTGCAAAAAGCTAAAACAAAACAATTTCTCAGTAATGATTGTATTTAAGTATAGAAGCAGGTGAGAGATCTCTCAACCACTTCAGAAAAGCCTCACTGCTTGCCTTCCCACTTGAATTGATGTCTCTTACTAATTTCAGTAGAAGAACACCACACATGAAGACCAAGGGTTTGCAAAACAAGGAAACACACATTTAAAACCGTAACCATCGTGAAGGAGACCTCCAGAAAAATCGATACTTACAGAGAATTATTTCATTTTCTCTGGTATTAAAAGGGGGGAGAGGGGGAACCCAACACCTTCCTGGGAATTTTGGAATAAGCCAGTAAATATGACTGATGATTGAAAGAGCAATGATTGTGAGCTGGTGCCAGAAATAATGTTTCCTGAATAATGAACTTCAGATAAGAAGTCTTTTCCTTCCTCCTCTCTTTGCCCCTAGCCAGGTAGTCACATCATTTCAAATCCCTGCCTAATTCCTCAAGTACCAGCCAGTAGTAGACAACATTTGTGATGACTTACAATTTTTGCTCAGCAGTTTATCCTTATTTTCCCATGCCTCCACACAACTCCACAGTTCCTTCAAGCTGACACACAATTCCCTCAGCCTGCTCCTGCTTCCCAGCTAAGGGCTCAGTCACTGCCCCACCAGAGGTCTTCAGAACTCTCGGGAACCCAAACTTGAAGCTCCTCCTGCATTCTCCAGGGTTGTCAGCTTTAAGAAGTCTCTTACCACATGGCAATACACCTAGTTATCCTTGCTCTTTTGCTAAAATGTTAGATATCGTTTCCCCCCTTTCATGTGTCTATAGATATAAATTCTACTAAGAAAGTAACATTCAATTCCAAGTTTGGGTTTTCTTTTTTTGATCAATTAATAAGAAGACATAATAAACTGAAAAGCAGTCTTTCCCCTGTTTAGTCAACAAACTGTTTCAGAAAACACCATCTCCCAGTTAAAATAAACACAGGAATCATGGCACAGCGTTCACTCTTGAACTCCAAGTACTGCTCAGCTTCTAACAGATGCATCCTGAGACATGCAAAAAGCACTGCAACAGGGAAAGGGTGGGAACGTGTCAGTCCTTGATCATTTGGAATCTTCAGACCCAAATCTATCTATCGAGTGAGGGTTCCCACCGCCAGCTTTGTGTCCCCTTGGGATCCCCACACCCAAAGGTTCCCAAGATCAGCGTTTCAAGGGTACATCCCAAGCTCAAGTTCTATATCACAACCGACGCTAGAAGAAAGCAGACACAGAAAAGACTTCGGGACACAATGAGAATAGTTCGGTTTTTCTGGTATGTGGGTAAATCACAAAATCAAAATATGGGTCTGTTCCTTACCTTGACAATATTCGAAGCTCCCCTGTTTGCGGCAGTCCCCTATCGCTAAACCCAGTGCTGGCCGAGGGCTTCTTTTGACAGAGATCATTCTCCAGCAGCAGCTCCGCTCATTTCCTCTCTCCTTTTCTGACTGGGACCGATATTACGTTCACCAGCCCAGAGACCACGCTTTTCTATTGACAACAAAGGGGAAAAAAATGCATATATCACAACCAGTCTAAAAAAAGGATCGTACCCACCTATTTACATCGTAACACTAAGCCAGCCCTGTTTGGTTTGGTTTAAGAAAGGGATGCAAGCCCCTCTACATTTTAGAACAAGTCCCCAGACAACCCCCATTTTCACAGTTCCTATAATGGGCTTGCTCTAGAGGGTTCTTAATTCTCCTATCATCTGACCCAGGACTGAATGGTCCACTCTAAAACGGACAATTCCTCTTTCTGAAAACTGGTTTTAAAGCTCAAGTTCTCCAATACTTTAAGAGAGTGTGTTGTACTTTACTTACTCCAACAGAAATATATTATAAATATAAAACATTGTTATGGTTTCTTTAGACAAATGCTTTGAGAGGTTCATTGTACATTTTAATTATGTAGACCTTCACAAACAAGTTAAACCCTGTTTAAACGCAAAGTGGTGACCATATTGTTTCACAGTCCTGAAACTTAATTATTTAAATTTAGATAGTTTTTAATACCTACTACTGAAGTGATCTTGATATAGTCCATATTTTTAAAATATTAGTAACAAAATTCATTGGTGAACTAGTTGGCCAAATGAATACATTTCTACCACTTTCCTTTTTCTCATTTTCCCTGCTAACTTTGGCAGGTTTAGAATTCATTTATTTACAAACATTTACTACCTGCTTATTAATCACCCACTACAATCTCTACTGCTGTAAGTATAATAAGTATCATTATTTTATGCTCATAATCTAAGAAATCTAAGGGCCTATCCCCATCATATACACATATACACTTAATAAGTATAATGGAATAAAGGTTTACAAAAGCCAAAAGTACTTCTAAGGTTGCTGCTATCAAATTGCTCCCTAGAAATGTTTTTCTGTGGTAAATCTACTCCAGTGTATATAAAACAAGTATGTTTTCTCACCCCCGAGATTATTGCCTTATGACAACTTTCTAACTTGGAACGCAAGACACTCCCAGAGGCCACCTCTTAGCCCAATAATAGAAGGACCTACAGAACAGAAATAACACCTGTGAAGAACATGCTCTTTAGAGCAGTCAAACTACACAAAGCCACAGGAGCTAGAAAGCCATTATCAAAGGTAGAGACATTTTACTGTCATTTGCACACAAGACAAAACCCAAACTGGGAAGGCAGGGAGGGGCAGGGACCCCAAGGAGGAAGTGAAGAGCGTGCTGGCACACTGTGGGGATTGCCACCAATGTCACAGAACAATTAGTGTATGAGTTAATAACTGGAAAGCCAATTTGCTATGTAAACTTTCACCCAAAGTACAATAAAATGTTAACAACAACAACAAAAACAACAACCATGTTCCACAAGAAAATCACCAAACTACACAGATGATACATAAATACTGAGGTGGGGACTGGAAGTAAATATGATTATTTCTGGAAAATGGGAATATGAGTCATTTGCTTTTCTACTTGTTATTTTCAATTCACATGTAGTGAGATGAAAACTAACAGAGGATATACAAATGCTATTAGAGGCTATAAAATGCTATAAAAATGGGTGTTTTTCTTAGATTAATCATGATGTATGATAATATGTGGTGCTTCAGCAACCACCTTTAAAAGATATTAGAGCCTGGTAAAAGGAAGCATGCCTCTCTATCTGGGCCATAGTTAGTCATCTCCATTGAAGAAATATAAAAGACAAAATATGTACAAGTCTCATTAAGTCTACTTCTTCAGTCTTATGACAGCTCGATGCCATGCTCATGTCTGGGGTTATGAGCAAAAGTGGAGATGGAGCCTCAGTTTGGGAGGCATATACCACTCCTATGTGGCCCAGCTTCTTGAAAAGATAAGTTTCTCAGTTAGCTATGATCCTTCAACCTAGAACACACTGCTACACTTTTTAAATTTTAATCTGTAGCCACTGTAACCAGAGTGTACTGAAGCAAGTGGGGAAGAGTTGGAGGAAGATAGTGTTTTGAAATATTCTAAATGTATGAATTCATAGGTTCTAAGATGATAGCATAAAAATACCCATTCAAGCCATATACAATGTAAACCTCAAGTTACTCATCAGGGTACCACCCCCCTGAAATATTTCATAAACCTTAAAACATATCACAATCAATAGGACAACTCAACAACAAGAACAAAACAAGAAGTGAGCTGGATCTTCTTTGAGATGCTCCAAATAATGACCTGGGAGGATTATCCTTGCATTTCAGACTTACATTGCATCAAATGGGCTCTCCATCCGAAACAATAACAAACAAGTAACGGCAATGATCCTGCGAAATACATGTTCGGATACATGTGGAATTCATTCCAAAGGAAGCTCTAGATCATGTGCAAGTAAGAGTAAAATGTATCTACCTTTGAAAAGTGCTTTGTTCAGATTCTCAGCCCTCAAATTTGCCAAGCTTTAAGGAAGAGAGCGATATCCAGGACAGTTAGAAGTTAAACTTCATAAAAGCCTCAAACAATTTGTAGCGCTACAAGAGTGTTATTAAAAGGGCTCAACATGCTGTATTACCATGGAAATTGTGGAAAACATACATTCCCAAACAAATATTACTTTTTCTCAATGGTATGAAGTAATGAAAACCACATGTGTAAATCTGTGATCCGTGCAGTAGTTCAAGCTGCAGTTAATAGAAAATACAGAAAGTGAACTCTGTTATATAAAGGATTCTTGTTACAGAAATATAATGTGAAAACCAGATGCAGACAGAAAACCTTAATCACAGATGGGAATGTAATCACTGGCAGTACAGAATACTTTTTTGATCAATCTTAACCATATGCGCAATGTATTTATGTTCTGAGGAATGCAATAACTTGAGAGAACCTTCTATTTGAATTCAGTTAACCTCATATTTATAATGCTTTTATCTTACTCCCCCATCCCTTCCATGTGTACACTGAGCCAAGGTTTTAAAAAGAAGAGTTGCTGGCTTTGGCAAATCATTCCCGTATCAGTTTATCTTTCAAAAATTTAATAGGATGTAAAGACTACACACATCAGAATCAACCTCAAAAGAGATCCAGTGCAGCTCCTCATCACCGTATTTCTCCATCACTGCCAGGAAGCCCTCCACTGCCTAAACACGTTTCAAAAAATGAGCATTAAACATACTTCTTTTTATGTATCAGCCTGAATGGAATCAAACCTTAGTTCTGTGCTTTCTCTCTCCCTCAATAAAAATATATCATGGCATAAAGACTATTCTTCATTAAAAAAGATGCAGTTCCTTTTTTGGTGAATTACATTTTTGGTAATTTGGGGAAATTACCATGGAATGAACCAATTCCATCACAGGTGACTTAGAAAACATTAGCTTAACAAGTCTAGCCTGTGACGTTAAATTACAAGCACCACGTCAGGACTATATTCATGAGTCCATTCCATCAGTACAGGACCATCCTCAACATATGAAATGAAGCAATTGGGACATTGTAGACACAAGTGTGCCTCATCAGACATTCAGAAGCAAACTAAACTGTAATGTCCTGGCTACACAGGCTTCCTTAAGCACCTATGGTATATACTCATTGAGATTCTTCTCCCCTTTTCTAACGACTCATTCTGCTAGAGATCTATATATACACACAGTCATTCCTGGCTTATGTTTACATACAGGACTCTGCATAATGTGGCAGTAACCTCCTCCTTACAGCCGCAACAGTGACCATGTCGTTAGAGCAGCGGTTCTCAACCTTCCTAATGCCGCGCGACCCTTTCACACAGTTCCTCCTGTTGTGGTGATCCCAAACCATAAAATTATTTTTGTTGCTACTTCATCACTGTCATTTTGATACTGATAGGAATTGGGCAACCCCTGTGAAAGGGTCATTCAACCCCCAAAGGGGTCGCGACCCACAGGTTGAGAACCACTGCCTTCAAGGCTGCAGTGGTTCATTGAACTAACTCTCCTATCGTCATGGTTCCATGTGTCTATCTCGGGGCTCTCCCCACAGCTGGGGGCATGACTACCTCCTCCTCAACACTCAAGTTTCAGCTCAGGGCTGCCTCCTCAGCAAGGACTGTCCCAGCCATCTTCAATGAAGACTCCTCAAAAGCACCCTCCCTGATCTCATGTGTTAAATTATTCTATTTTCTTTATTGCATTTGTCACTATATGAAAAAAACGTATCAGTTAGCTTAATTATTGTTTCTCCCTCCCCTACTTCTAAGGCGTAAACTCTACGAGAGCAGGCTCGTGTCTGTTTTGGGCATTATACTGTGCTCCATATTTGACACATAATAGTAGTCCAAATAAGAACCAAAAGAGAAAAACAGAACTTATACAATGAAATGTCAGAGATCCGATTCAAATCTCTATTACCTTCATAAACCTTTTCCTGATCACTCACAGGGGTCCTCAAACTTTTTAAACAGGGGGCCAGTTCACTGTCCCTCACACCCGTTGGAGGGCCGGGCTATAGTTAAAAAAAAAAACCCAACTATGAACAAATTCCTATGCACACTGCACATATCTTATTTTGAAGTAAAAAATCAAATGGGGCAAAAACACCTGGAGGGCCCAATAAATGTCCTCAGCAGGCTGCATATAGCCCGCGGGCCATAGTTTGAGGACCCCTGCGAGCCTTATAGTCATTTTAACTCCTTTAAACAGCACTGATAGGAAAACCTGGTGGCATAGAGGTTATGCATTGGGCTGCTAAGCACAAGGTCAGAAGTTCAAAACCAGCAGCTACTCTGAGAGAGAAAGATGGGGCTTTCCACTCCAGAAGACAGTTCAGAGTTTCAGAAACTCACAGGGGCAGTTCTATCCTATCTTATGAGACTGATTTGAGTTGGCATTGAATGGATAACAGAGTTTTGGTTCAAGTTAAATAGCACTGATGGTCCATATCAGTAACCTGCAGGCCCTGGTCTGACAGATATTGCTCACATGAGCCCATTCCACCAGTCCTATCCTACATTGGTCATACTGTGCTATCAGACTACCTGTTCCTCCCTTGTTGAGCAATAAGAT